GGGGCCTGGCCCGGGCCCTGGGCCGCCAGCTCGTCACGCTGCCCTGCTCCCGCCAGCTGGGGCTGGACTGCCTGCGCCGCTTCGTGAGCGGGGCTGTGCAGGCGGGCGCCTGGCTGCTCCTGGAGGAGCTGGACCAGCTGGCGCCTGGCGTGCTGGTGGGCTTCGGCCAGCTGACCGCCGACCTGCAGGCCCTGTGCGTGGTGCTGCGCGAGGGGCCGTGCTCTGGTGAGGAGGACGAGGACTGGGAGGAAGAGGTGGAGGAAGAGGAGGAGAAGGAGGACACCAGTGCCGGGGACGCGCCGGCCCTGCCCGAGCTGGGTGTAGACGAAGCGCAGCCCTTCCAGCCCCGCATCCTGGGCCACATCCTCTTCGGCGACCGCCTGCTGCGGGTGCGCGAGACGTTTGGGTGCCTGGCCACGCTGCGGCAAGTGCCCGCAACCCCGCGCCTGGCGCTGCGCCCCGTGGCCCTGCTGCCCCCTGACATGCAGACCGTGGCCGAGCTGGCCTTGCTGGCCGCCGGCTTCCGCGAAGCCTCGCGCTTGGCCCACAAGCTCGCCGCCTTCTTCCGGCTGGAGGGGGAGCTGGGCCCAGGCCCCGGCCCCGGCCGCCTGTCCCTGCTCAAGGGCGTGGTGCAGACGGCCACCAGCATCCTGCACCCGCCCGTGCCGCCTGGCACCAGCTGCGCTCAGCTGTCTGCGCTGGCGGGGCTGAGCGAGGAGCCGGCGCTGGTGCAGGCGCTGTGCCTCTCGCCACTGCTGGCCGGCCCGGAGGGCCCCCGGCTGGCACAGCTGCGGGAGCTGCTGCGCAGCGTGTTCCCAGTCGCCGGTGCCACGCTGCCCGAGTGCCAGGCACCGGCCCCGGTGATGCGCGCGGTGCTGGCCGAGCTGCAGGCCGACGGGCTGCATGCCGACCTTAACCTGGCCAGCGCCGTGGGCCAGCTCCACCAGGCCCTGCAGGGCTCAGCGAGTGTGCTGCTGGTGGGACCCGTGGGCAGCGGCAAGACCACGGCCTGGCGTACCCTGGCCAAGGCGCTGAGCCGGCTGGCCACCAGCGAAGCCCTGGAGGTGCCGTCGGGGGACAGCCGGCTGCACGGCAGGGAGGACGTGGCCCTGCTGCCCGTCAGCGCCACGTGCCTCTGCCCCAATGCCCTCAGCGCCCCCGAGTTCCTGGGCAGCATGGACGGCAGCGTCTGGACCGACGGCATCTTCTCCCGCCTGATGCAGAGAGCGGTGGC